TAGTAATTTTATTTTTCAACAATCTCTGCTACGTATATTAACATTAGAAAGATCAAAATTTTGCCATGCCCTATGCATTTTTATAACTTTGATTTTACACGAAATAACTCGCACCATTACTGCTTAGTACTTAGCTAAGCGCAGTCCCGCCACTATTGAATATGAAGTAAACATAAGAGTGTCAAGAGGACATAGAGATGCAATAAAATGAAACAGAAAAATTTGATATGTAACTGGTGTTTACGAAATGATCTGGAGGCGCGTCTCAGGACTTGGCCAACAAACAAAAAGCTTTATAAAATTTGCTTTAAAAAGATCCGTCTGTAGAATTTACCGACAAACCATGAAATTTTAATTACTACTTCTTAAGTTGTGTATCGGTTTTGTTGTACAGCATTGAGACGGTCTCACGCACGGAATGACTTGTAAAATTGCTAGTTGGCTAACAATAGCCAAAGTTCTTCGGAGATTCAATTTTTTTTTGTTATAGAGAGTAGAACAAATACAATAAGGAACCACGACGCGTTAAATCCTGAGAGAAAGAATACAGTACGTGTTATTTCCTAAGTCTAATCCGTGACTGTCTAACATATGTAAACACCTGTGAATGTTGCGTTACATTTCAAGTGTGGAGTGTGTTACAAATACTCAACGATAATTGGCCCACTTGGTCAAGTGGTGCAGAATAGCACTCTATGATTGGTTACCAGGGATGTTGACCTCCTTGAATAACAGTAATACTTAGATTTCATCAGTTAAAAAGGCAGTCAGGAAGTTAAAAAAAATAATAATAATAATAAGTTATTGTTGATGTCTTTCCGGAAGTCGGTCTTCAGAGGGTTCAGCGCCACGAAGAATTCGATCTTTATCTGTACTCTGTTAGTTTTGTGCCTTATGATGTCTGTACCTGTGTCTTTGGAAGGTTAGTTTCTCTATTACTGATCTCTGAGCGGGGGTTAGTGAGGGGGAAATTAGTCTCTCTCAATCATAGCTGAGACGAAGTCTCTCGAAAAAAAGTGGTTCAGGGCATTTCGGTTAAAAAAATCGATTTCTTTCAAAAAATCTGTCTTAGTCACAAAGTAATCAAAATCATCTTGCTTTCTCGAATTTTTGCGATGTTTTTACTTTTCGGAGCAAAGGCCCATTGTTAACAGCACCGATAATCAAAATTGACATAAATTGCCGTGCTCGCATTTTTGCAAAGCTCGTGTTTGAGGAATTTGTTTGGTTCGCATATTTAGTTTGATTCTTTTTTAGAACAAGCTACATAGGTTTTCCAGTTATAACGGTTTTTTACCCTTAAAATTATTTTTCAGTTTTACTTTACCTTTGCCGCCATGACCGTAAATATGCAGCTTTTAATCTCGGCTGAGCGCAAAATTCCAACTTCTTCCCCTCAATATCTTTATTCAGGCGAACAAAAACTAACAAAAAGGAAGGCGAGTATGGAAATATAAAGATATATCGTGGTTTTAGCTTTTAACAAAAAGCAGACTCGATTAAGTACGAATTTATGTCTACCACCTATGTTTGACACCTGAATTGAGCACTTTGAAGATTTTTATGCTTGAATATGCCATGAGAGAGAGAGAAACATCTCCATTCCCATCTAGAAAAATACCGTCGCCGAAGGTGGTTTTTCGCTGTATAAACGACCTATTGCTTTGTTTATCATTCAATTAAAGAGAAAGAAAGAGGGAATTCACTAAAAGTCAAGATAGATTTGAAATAGTCAAGTTAATCCTAAGTCATTATTAGTGTCAATTTGGGAAGTGTTCCTAAGAATGGTATTTAAAGTGCAGTCACTTTAAATTCGAGAAACCTGCAATCCTATAAGGTAGTGCGCAAAAAGAATTAATTTGTTCAAAGGAACCATCGGCTGTGTTTATAACCCATGAAATCGCCAGTAAAATAATATAGCTCCAGAAATTCCCTAAATAAATCAATTGGAGTGTTATTTTTATTAGTTAGGTAGAGGAATATGGAAAGATAAAGATATGTAGTGGTTTCGGCGAACTTCTAACCCAGCCGGCTAATATATATTTTGGACATTTTCGAAAATTCCACCCAAGAGAAAGCAGACTCGATAATGTACGAAATTTACGTCTTAAAACGATGGTTGACGCTTGAATTTAGCAAATTGAAGCTTTTTTTATGTTTGATGATGATGCCTTTAAACAGCATTTAAGAGAGAAAAATTTCCATCCTTATCTAGAAAAATAGTGTTGCCGAACGTTGTCTCTTAACTCTTTAAGCGACCTATTGTTTGTTAATCTCTCAGCTAACGAGTACTTTAAGATTAAGACAGATTCATGGAAAAAAATTGTAAGAAATCGAATTTTTTTAGCTAAAATACACCGGGCCGCCTTTAGAAAGACTGCATATTAATGTTTGACACCAGCTGGTTGTTAAAGAGTTTTGTTTTAGTTTAATCGGAGCTATGCACTTCCGTTAACTTATTAAAACTGCGTAACGGATTAAAACTGCGTAACGGATTAAGCTTTGTGAGTGTCATTTAATGTAGAGTGCAGATGGTTTTCGTTGCTTTCGTATGTAAATTTTGATTTACTAGACTGGTTCTTCGTTTATATCCAGTAAATCAACCAAGTTAATCAAGTGTGTTTTTTTTTTCGTTTGGTATTACACTCTCGGGTATGGAAAAAAAATATGGCAGTGTGAATGCAGCTTTTATCCTTAAATTATGCCTTCATTATTCTTTGTGTCTCCTGCAATGGTTGTTGCCCACGCGTTGTCAACTTTTTCACTAAAAAATGGTCTATGACGTCCACAGTCCACGGGAAAAATAAAATGTGCGACTCATGTTTCGTTTGGAGCCTCTGAATAGGAATCTGTTCGGCTGTAGAACAGGAAGTTCTACAAGAAAGCTCGTCTGTCGTCCAGGCTGTTTATAAAATTTCTTGTAATAGTTCTGGCAGAATGGGTAGCTCATCCTCTCCCTTCCATGACCTAAGGTTTGGCCTAGGAAGGGAGAAGTTTCTGGAAACTTAACAATTCACTATAATTCACTAAATTTTGTACTCACGGCCTGGCTGAGCAAAAGCAGCACTTCTAATTTTGAATTTCTCCTATTCAACTTGAATGTATACTGGCGAGTTTGAGATAGTAAATTTCCTATTTGAGGACATTATTGTGCGTTTATCTCTGGTAATAAACGCTTGCATCACCCAAGTCTTCCACCGGTGGCAATGGATACCATCGACTACAAGACAAACAAAGAGGTTTAAGAAAAAGGAAAAGGAAGTATACTAGAAAATAATTAGTGTAAAATATTATCACTTTTGAAAGTTTGAAATAATTCGAAGTTCGTTCATAAAAAGTTCATAATCAGATCTGCCAAAAGCTGTTGGTTGAAAAGGATCTAGGTAAGATCTGCAAGCTTCCTTTTTATCTACGCCGGTTTTTATTTTAATAGCTCATTTTGTTTTGGCGAAATGAATACCTTTTTGATCTATTGTCGGTCACAATAATTTTAATCGCGAACAATTATTCATGGCAAGTGCAGGTAGACCATGCACTCTAATTAGTTGTCCCTGAGTAGGTGTCATCAAACATCTAGTCCTAAAAGTAAGCATTTAGAAAAAAACAAAACAAAACAAAGGAAACATATCGACAAAAGGCGCGTGTACTCTTAACCGACAGGAGCAGCCAGTTTAGAGCCCGACGACATACTAGCTACTTCATCACAGATATCCAGGCAAGGTCTGCTCTCGTTCGACAAGTTTCGTTATCTCGATGTACCTAAGCTTGACGAAATTATGGTGTACGACGACTTTGAATGCACATTTAAATGCCTTCACCATCCTCTGTGTGTTTCCGTGAACCTGGTTACTGAAGGTGATTTTTGGTGTGAGTTGCTGTCTTCTGATAAGTACAGCAACCCCAATGAATTCAACCTCTTGAATGCATGACTTAAGGAATGATTTTGAAACACAGCAGGAAAATACAGTTGCAAAAAGAACAATGTTACTTAGGGCACGAATCAGACTAGATGATTTTAGGAAGCACGAAACCTATTTTTTATCATTCAGCTGAGGAGGTAGTTAATTGAAAAATGCTACGATATCATAGCAATTACGTTTACGATCACGAGCATGAAATCATCGTTTCAATTATTATAATTAAATACATTTGTCATTGCTATTCATCTATATGCTAATTGGCAAAGGATCAATTGTGGTATGTTTGCCAATCTCGAAAAAAGAGAATTTTAGTTGGAGAAAATTGATTGGGGCTTCATTGGTGTGTTATCATTTTGCTATAAGAGGCTCACACATGGTCAACGTCAGGTGGACTCTTGCCCAGCTATGATGATTTAATACCGAGTGCAGCGTAGGTTTCTTTGTTTAAAGCTGAAATAAAAGCACAATATTCAATTTTAAATGTTCAGGCTTACAAATTTAAATACGTTCGATACTTAGCTTACTTGCAGAACACAAAATGGGAGCATAGCTAATTGCATATCATAATAAAACGATTCTTGTTTCTCCCTTACTTTTGATTTTGATTAAGAGTCTATGTATTTGGAATGTGAGGCTTTCCACAAGACTTATTACAACGTTGCATCTCCAGAAGGAGCGAGACTTATAAGACGGGGGATATGGGTCTGACTAAAACGTTTAGGGAATTTAATTTTTTATTTTTGCATCAGAGTGCTTGTGCAAAAAAACCCTGCAAGAACAACTCCACTCATCGAAACGGTTTTATCAACAAAAGTTATCAGTGTCTGTGTTCCGCTGGATTCAAGGGTCAGACTCGTGATGAAGGTAACATACGTCTGCATGTGATAAGTTTTATGGAGCAGATGTCAGTATTTCCGTCAGTGACGATTTTGGTGTGGTCTTGTATATCCGGAAAATGGGGGCTAATAGAGATGAACCGAAAGATGACAAACCAGCAGTGCTGATGTATCTCGAAAGAATGTTATGCATTATATGAGTCAAATTGAAACCAAGTACTTAACTTTAATACACTCTACACCAATGAGGTTGAATCTCGCAGACACAAACGAGTGTATCGAGGGAACATCCAATTGCAGCGCTGATGCTGTGTGCAACAATACTAAGGGATCGTACAACTGTGCATGCAAGCAAGGATACAATAGAGATGGAAATATCTGCCGTTTGGGTAATATTTCTACTGCTGTATATTTAAAGCTAGGTTTTGTACTGTTTCTGTCTGTTTAGACCACTGTAATGAGAAGTTCGTTTATAATAATTATGTATATCGGGAAATTGATATATAGTGAATCACAGAACTTCGAAAAATACCTCGTTAGAAATTACCGAGAATTCAAACTAAGAACAAGTTAACTTCTTGATGGACGTGAAAACGCTTGCCTGTGTAGATAGCAGTATTATGGTGTGCATCTGAAGCTTCGAGTGACTTGAGTAACAGCGGCGAGGCTGCGAGGGGCTTGGGACGCTGCTTCAAGTCGCGGTTCCACTGCTTTGATTTTCATCCAGCGCATTAGACGCTGGTAACAATGCAAATTACAAAAACACGAGTGACCAAGTCACGATTGCTTTGATCCTCTTCGCATAGTGAGTATCTGCACCAATCACAAAGCTCACCAAAGTCAAACTAGTGCAAAAAACTGGCTCATGGAGAATTTCATAGCCATCACAACTAAATGGAGTTGATAACTTTCGTACTCTAATCTGTTATTTTTCTCTAGTTAGCGACCAATTAATTTCTTGAACTTGGATTACAACGTTATATATCTGTCATTCTACATGTAAATTCCCTTTGAGAGCATTTCAAAACGCCATCCTATCTTTCTTTCTCAAATGATTTAAAAATGGTTTAACGCTGTTGACATACTTTTTCTTTTTTTCAGCTTCGACGTGTAAGGAAATTTTCGACCGCAATGTGTAAGTCAATTAGTCACTGACAAAATCAGAGCCGGAGCGGAATTTAATGAGAGAATATGAAAATAACAGTACTAATAATAATAATAATTCTGAAATAATGTTGCGCTAAGCATAACAACCTTGATGATAAACTTCCACACGAGCTTCTCTCTTGAAAGGAGTCGCGTGATCGAAAAGTACTTTGTGTCATTTACTGAACATGAGGAAGCCTTGGCTCTTATCATATTTCAACTGAATCTTTCCTTTAAAGAAGATTTAGTAGATCGAAAAAAAAGTGTCGAGGTTACCCTGCACTTAGACTCAAAGCCAATTTCTTTTTTCTTTCACATGGGTGACTTTTTGACATGACTAAGAAATGGTTTTCACAACTTGACTTCCAATCCGCAAAGAATACCAATATTCTATACGCTCTCGAAAATACATAAAACTATACTGGTCGGAGACGCTACTCCAGCCTATATAACAACTGCAAAAATCCTATGTAAAGGATAACATACCAAGTTCTTCGAAAAAACAAAGATAGACAAAGATACTAATCTGAGCCCAAGGTCCAGAAAACAAGACACGATTAGTGAGACAAGATGAGGATAACGGTTTTGGTAATCTGCCAAAAACTTCAACCTCATGTACAAATCTAAATATGAAAAACTGATCGCGCGACATTATGTACAAGAAAAAACCTAAACGGAAAGATTGAACAATTCTAGTATCAATGGACGTTTCCAGCTTGTACACAAATATACCTCGAAAAGAAGGAACGAATATAGTATGTGAAGCATCAGAAAAGTTCCACAACCACAATGCACCGATCCCAACGCACTACCTCAGGGAAATGCTTGGCTTAATTCTTAAAGAAAATTGGTTTCAATTCAATGAGGAGTACTCCCTCCAAATTCATGGAGCCGTTACGGATACGAAAATGGCAGTGTCATTTGCCAATATTTTCATGGCGTAAATTGGAACAAAATTAATCCAACAAAGCGAAACCAAGCATAGAGAATGGAACCGTTATATAGATGACGTTGTCTCCCTTTGAAGGCCCATTTCCAACCTTAATGCAACGCGGTCGTTTGTTTTTGTTTTGAACCACCGCTTTTGTTTAAATAGAGCCCCTGATTGGTCAGTTATTTTTACCTTGTCACGTTGTCTCCAAATACCTTCTGCGTCTTCTCCGATGAATTTGAAGGGCTTGTCAAAATAATTCGGTCTAAAGAAGTTCTATACGTTTTAAGGGTCAGTTGAAGTTTCCTGCCCGTGGAGAGGAGCTAGCGCTCGAAAGAGTGGCTGAGGTTGTTGTTCATGCAGCAAATAAGAATTGTAACGCAAACTTTCAGTGTCGCTGACGTTCCTGCAATGAAGTGACTAAACTTAAAATAATTAAACGTCCAGCAGTACGATATTTTTTCCATATTTCTCTTCGAGATCCAAAAAAATTTATGCGAAAATGTTCTACCTTTATTTTCAATCCTCAAGGGCTTTCAAGTAGCCTAAAATTTCAAACTTGATGTTTTTCGCTAACCCTGTATACAGAGTACGAAGCCATCCAAACGCTTGACACTTAAAATTTTCTCAATGACACGGCTGTACACGGTCCTCAAATAACTCCATATTTCTCTATGAAATATACCAATTTTTCGTTCGTTAAATGTTCTACCTTCATTAATAATCCTCACAGATGGTCGACGTCAGGTAGACTCTTGCCCAGCTATGATAAGTCATTACTGAGTGCAGCATGGGTTTCTTTGTCTATAGCTGAAATAAAAGCACAATATCTAACTCCAAATGTCCAGGCTTTCAAATATAGATATGTTTGCTGCTTTGCTAAAAGATACTTATTTTACTTGCAGAAAACGAAACAGGAGTATTACTAATTGTATATCATATTGAAATGATTCTTGTCTCCTTTTAAGTTTTAATTTTGAATAAGAGTCCAGGTATTCGGGCTGAGAGGCGTTTCACAAGTCTTATTACAACGTTGCATATCCAGAAGGAGCGAGACTTATAAGACAGGGGGTATGGGTCTTACTAAAACGTTTAAGGAACTTTTATTTTTGCATCAGAGTGCTTGTACAAAAAAACCCTGCAAGAACAACTCCAACTTGGTTTTACCGACAAAGTTATCAGTGTTCGTGTTCCGCTGGATTCAAGGGTCGGACAAGCGATGAACGTAAAATATGTTTCCATGTTCTAAGTGTTACAGATAGATGTCAGTATTTCCGTCTGTGACTTAGAAATCCTTGCATGCACTCCACTGATGGAGCTTAGAAGTTAAACAAAGAATTAACTAATAAACTGGCTCGATTGGTTAATTGATTATCACATTCTTTTGTCATAAAGGAGAGACGCACCTCAATGGTATTAAGAGACTATAACATCTCGGTTTGTGACCTGATACCAGAAACTCTTTGGCAGAAGCCAAAGGTTTACATTTTCTCTTAAAAAAAGAACCAAAAAATAGTTTGGGGTGGTCTTGTATATCCGGAGAATAGAAAAAGCTAATGGGAATGAGCCGAAGGAAGACAAACCAGCAGTGTTGATGCGCCCGCAAGAATGCTATGCATTATTTCAGTCAAATTGAAACCAAGTACTTAACGTTGATATACTCTACATCAATGAGGTTGAATCTTGCAAATATAAACGAGTGTATCGAGGGAACATCCAGTTGTGGTGTTGATGCTGTGTGCAACAATACCAAGGGTTCCTAAAACTGTACCTGCATATGTAAACCCGGAAATATTCTGGAGATGGACAGACTTGCGAAAGGAAACGTGACCAAAGCCCCAACACTAATTGACAAAAAAAGTGAATGGAAACTAAAGAAATAAATTTCAACACTAAAAATAATCAAATTAGTCACGCGCTCAGGAGTTTTCCCTATTGAATTGGTTGCCTCGAATTTTACAGATGTAAACGAGTGTCTAACAAACTGTAGAGCTAATGCTGTGTGCAATATTGGTATCATCAAGCGAAGCCGCGGAAAACTGTGTATTTTTGAAAGTAATGTACTTTTAACAAATAGAGCCTTGACTGTGCTCTGTTCTGTTATGAAGTACGCAGGAAGCGGCTAGAGCACGAAAGAAGTGTAGGAAGACACACGAGACGTAGTCGAGTGTTTCTTATTTTTTTTCCTACTTTTTGAGTGCTCTAGCCGCTTCCTAAGTGCTCTATACTCTCATAAAGCACGCTACAATAAGCCAATCAGAATCCCTGTTAGAATGGTTCAAATAATCTGATTGGCTGTACAAGACTAAAGCTGTCAAAAGTGTCAAACCATCAAAGTTCACATTCTACGATAGTTTGCAAACTAAAATAGTTCGGCAAGTCGAATTTAACACTTTTGCTTGAAGTTTTTAAGTCCCTAATACATAATCTTGTAGTGAAATGTTCAGTGAACTTCAGCCGAATTATGGCTCATAAAATCACGTGAGTTTTTTCACATGACAAGGTAGAAAACAAACTGTTCAAGGCGAGTGTTTGTTGAATGAACGACAGCCGAATTCACCGGAACATGAAGATCGCTCGGGATGACAGCGCCGCAAAACTCGGCTGCAGTGACTGATGTGACTTTCCACTCAACGTATTGGAAAGGATATCAGAGCAAGCTCTTATTTTTTCACTCGAAGGGCGGCCGATGTAGTTTCTGAGGCTTGCTTTACTGTGATGACCGGAGATCGCCATGATGAGCGAGCCGCGATGAACTTCAGCATGATCATATTCGCTCAGACACCGTCATGATTAGTATGAATTTTAACAATTATGCCAGTTTGGTTATATTTTTCATCATTTCTGTTTTTTTCTGTTTTGTTTTTTAACACTGAACTTTATATATTATACGAGTGATAGCTGTGTTTGATTTTTATTACCGTACGTAAGCTTGCAATCTAACTGAGCGTGAAAATCTTTAAAACTCGGAATGTCTATTTTGTTATTCCTTTGAGGATTTTTCATCTGCTCACGTTTTAATAACGTCAATTACGGCGCCTGGTATGTTTACAAACCTTTGTTTGGTTCTTCTGTTGCTACTTGCCGGCTCGCTTCAGTTCCGAAATTTCACTTTCAATTATCGGAAAAAAGCTAGAAAGAAGTCCCGGAAAAGCGTGACAGCTTTAGCTCAGCTCTATGCTCTATACTCTCATAGAGCACGCTCTTTCAACCAATGACGGCGCTCGTTATATCCGAAATTTATTATAAATAAAAATAGTGATTACAGAACTGTAGTGCTAAAGCTGTGTGTAACAATACTAAGAGATCGTA